GCACCACTGCTACTTTGAGCAGTGGCACTGCGCTTCGCTGTTGCTTCGTCCCACACTAGGCGACTATGTTGTGCTTGTCCCACGTAGTGTTGCGGCTGCCGGTCACCGGTTATGAAAATTATTAATTAAAATGTGATTAATTGATTTAGTTTTCAACTTAAAAAATATTATTATACATATCCATTTTTTATTGGTGGGTAAATGAGAAAGGGGATAGGTGAGAGAAAGAAAGAGAGTGAATTAGTTGGAAAATAAAAATCATCCCTCCCTAAAAGAAAATATTATCCTTCTTTATGAGGAACATATGGTCAAATGATCTAAAGTTGGAAAATATTTTTTATGGAAAAATTTTCAATCTAACATCCCAAAAATAGAAATTTGGGTGGAAAAATAACATTTATCTTGGAAAAATACTAAGGTTTTTTTTTTCCCTTATTTATTTATCTTTTGCGTCTTTTAAGCAAGTTTATTTATGTCCTTAATTAGATTTTAGCGTTTTATTTTCCTATGATCGCAATTTAAATATGGATTTTTATTTTATTTTTATTTTTTTGCTTATTCAATAAAATTTAAGCACTTCTCATCTCTCCCACTTATTGGTATACCTTGAAAATCAATGTGTTTTTGAAATGTTAATCATATTTTTCATATTTTGCTACACAAGTTTGGTACTAGAGCATAATCACATCCCTGATAGAGACAGGTTGTTGCTAATGAAATTATGGAGATAATCATGCAACGAGATGAGTTATAATAACTATGTCTGCAAATGATGGTGTAGGGCACTAATAGGGATGGAACAATCATGCTAACAAATGGAGGTGACGAATCAATAGGTGAATGATTTTTCCTTTCTTGATAGTCTGAGCATCAAAGAGATATAGTAGTTGCAAATCGGTGGAGGAGGACTCCGATGATGATGTAAGCCCTTTTATTTCTTGGAATTACAAGGAAGAATTGGATGTTGACAGTGATAACATGTCACTTTTTTATGATGCTAGTGAAATTTACGAGTTCATACATAGATGGTGAAAGTCAAGTCGATCCTCCAATTTTCAATGAGGAACCTAACGTTATTTTCGAGAAGTGGTCCAAAAAATCCAACCTTAATCTTGAAGTTGTGGAAGTTAGTAACTAGTAAGGGTAGTTTTGAAAATTTGTTAGGTAGAGTTAGCTACTTTTACAGCCAATTAAAACTTTCACTTTCATTGTGTTTATTTTGGCCAAAATATCCCTTTACAAGGTAACAATTTATATTACTCCCGAGAGGTTCATTATAAATTAGCACATTGTAATTTACAACATAAGAGACACCATTATGCTCTATGAAATCTTTATATGACGATCTTTGTGAAATAATGCAAATATATGATCATAATTTAATTAGAGATGATTAAGTTTACACATAAGTATACGATTAATTGATATCGAGAGAAGTTATAGATTATATTCGGGCCACTAATTTTCCCCTAGTCAAGAATTGACAAATCCGGGCAATTGAGAATTAGATTAGCGGTCATAGCAAATCCTAATGCCTTTTTGTGATTTCATTAATTCCAAAGAATTTGTTGTTTAATTTGTATTGTTTATTTCAGTAGAATTAGTTCAACCATTAGAACTAGTTTTAATTAAAATAAAACACATAGATAATTTGTCATCGTTTATTTGACAATCATTTCATCACTTTGTTACCTGTATATAATCCTTCCACTTACGGTATAAAAATCAACCACAACAACATAATCACCAATTCACCATACACACACGATACATATTACACACGCACCATAGCCAACAACGTTCAAATTTCTATTTATAACACATCAAAATAAACTTTCCTCTCTCTGTATTTTCACACAAAAAAGTGAGAAAAAAAAATGGAATTCGATGAACAATCTCTCTCTTTTCTCTAAAGTTGGGTTTTTGTACCTCTTGCCTAGATGAAGATAAAGACTCCTTTTACGATCCAGATGAATCTTGATTTATCTAACGGCGGTGAGCAACTCAATAGTTAAGAGGCGTGTTCCACTCAATGTTGTAATCCAGGAATTTATGTAGAAATTTTAATATATAAATATATATATATAGTCAGCATTTTCGTTAATCTTTATTAACTGTTCAATGAATGTGTACAAAATTTTTTTTTTGATAATCAGTTATTTAATAAACAAAACCCTGTCTGGAATATGCCTAACGAATCAAACAAAAATTTGACCTTATTAAATAAATACGATTATCTTGGATCAAATCTCGACTGAAATATATATTTATATGTAATAGAAAGTGACATTATCTTTTGATAAGACAATGTTTTTAGACCAAAATTCTATTAGTTTCACCATACATAGAAAAAAAAAATTAAATTAAATTCGACTCTTGAAATGCAACCCGAATGGAAAAAAATTGGTTTCGGCAGAAAAATAAAACTGGGTGACTCATATAATCTTTTCTTTGATAACTTGAGATGAAAAAAAAAAAAAACGAATGAAATGGAACATTACTCGCAAGGGCTCTTCTACCCAAACGAAATCGAAATGTCCTTCAAACTTCTTACTCCTATTGGACACTAAATAGCCATGTCAAACTGCAATTCACCTCTTTTTTTTTCATTTTAATTAATTAATGGAAAATGTAAAACAATTTATTTCTCGTACTTATTTTCAATCACATATTCACACAATAAAATATTTTGTACATAAATCCAAATTTTTTCTGCATTTTAACAACTCAAAAAACAAAAAAATCACTATAAAAACATTTTAAAACAATAATGCCATTTTTCACTAAAATAAGCCCGTTTGATTTTTTTTATTGTATTTTATAATTATATATCACAATATTCACTCTACTATGCTTATAGGTACAAGTATATACACTTAATGTTGATAACTCACTATAATTTCTCAATTTCATTGAGCCCTTGTTTGATGGCCATTATTGTTTAAAAATGATTTTTTGAATGGTAATTTTTTGAAGAATGTGTGGTTAAAAAGTGAAACTTTTTTGAATTATTTTAATTTACATGCAAAATATTTTATTGTGTGAACTTGTGGTTAAATGAATATGATAAATAAATTTTTTTATTTTAAAGGGAGTGAAACAGGGGCTGAATGTTGACTGTTAAGAATAATTATCTACCACTAAACTTGAAGTATCATTATGAGTATATATTTATAGGATTCATGACATATCAAATGTGTATTGTCACAAGAATATCTCTGGTTAAAATCTAAATCTAAATCAACATTTAATTTTAATGTTAAATTATGAGGGATTCACATTTTTTCAACCACATATTCAATTAACTTTTATCAAAATTTATTTAAAATTTAGCCCCTGTTTGGTCCCCATTACGTGAAAAAATTAATGGGTGAAATAGTATTTTTTTTGAAAAATGAGTAGTTGAAAGAGAAAGAAAATTTTTCGATTTATGTGTAATATTATTTTATGGAAGATTGTGTGGTTAAAAATATGAGAGAAAAAATGAAATGGGGCCCAAACGGGGGCTTAATTTTGTTTCTAAACCAAAAATCACTATTTAACCACACATTTTCCAATAAAATAATTTTACAAATAAATCGAAATTTTTCTTATTTCTTAATTACACATTCTTCAAAAATTATTATTTAAAAACACATTTTTCCTCGTAACAAGGCTCAAACAAGGGCCATAGTTTACAAGATATAGAGAGAGTAAATTAAAAGTAAATTAATGAAGCCACTTCAACAGGTAACTCTGAGCAATCGTAGAGTATTAGCCTTTGTTTTATCTCATTAATTTTAAAATACATTTTCCTCTCTCTTCTTTTCAACTACACAATTTTTAATAAAATAATATTACAAACAAACTAAAAAAAAACCTTAATTTTTAGTCACACATTTTTTATCAATCTATTATTTCAAAATACATTCTAAAAATATGAGGATCAAACAGGTAATTATTGTGAGCACTTAATTGCACCTTGGCTACCTTGGCTTCCCACATACTCATTACAAAAATTATTGAACCATGAAGATATGTCATGTCATGGAAGTTGTAACATTGATGTCATTAATTACGTGTTATGTAAGTTTCCGTTTAACCTAGACTTCTTTCAGTGCAGATTATTCTTTTCCTGGTGCTTACATCTACTATTGAGTCCATTCATATTAATTATGAATATTAATTGTAAGGTCAGATATACCATAAAAATGGAAGACATTTTAGTGCAGTGTCTTCAGCCGGCCCCCAGCAGGCTGGCCGGCCCCCCTCCACTACCTTATTTTAGTGTGCACTTCCTACATTTCAGCCTCAACTCTTCATTATACTCAAAAGACGTACAAATATATATATAACTTGAGTCTTGACAAGTAATCCATACATTTATTTCACCAATCTTACAAATTTCTCACCTTTCATCAAATTCCCTATCAACTTCACACATCTTACGACCTTGACTGAAAGACTTCCAATTAGGTCAGTATCACCGACAGAACCAAAAGAGCTCGTTGTGCGGGCTGCCACCCTTTGTGATTGGGGAGACTAGAAGGGTCTGTCGATTCTTTGTAGAAAATTTCAGTAAGTCATAAACTCAGGTCTACTCGTAAGAAAATTCAGAACCTAAAAATGAAGCGGCCAGGAACATATTCAGGTATACTTTCGGGAGGAATATCAGGCAGAACTGGACCCCATTTATTGCCATTGGCAAGAATCAAGAAAATCATGAAAAAATCAAGTGATGATGTGAAGATGATAACTGGAGAGGCTCCTATTGTTTTCTCCAAGGCTTGTGAATTGTTCATAGAGGAAATTACCAAAAGGGCCTGGAATATTACACTGCAAGGCAAGAGAAGAACCCTTTGCAAAGAAGATGTTGCTTCTGCTGTTATTACAACTGATATTTTTGATTTTCTTGTTAATCTTGTTTCGGATTCTGCTAAATCAGAGGAGTCTTAGATCACAATGAAGGCATGAGGAAATGCACTGCATGTCCTTTCTTAACTTCTTTTTATTTTTTGATGAAGTTAATATATATTTACAATTGTGTCGACATGGATTGGTGAAAGTTACAGAAATGACAGACTTAATTAAGTGGTTGGAATATATTTTACGTAAACATAAATGGGATTCTATTTATTAAAAAAAAAAAAAAAAGTTTGAACCCCAACCTTGAGGGCCCCTATCGCCCTGCCCTTAGAGCTTTGCGAGGGAGGTAAATCGCGGGATGTGCTCCAACAGATCAGGGAATAAGAGCTGCTTGTACACTGCGCCTACAAGGGGTCCAATTCCATGTCTCAGGAATCAAACCCCCACACTGCGGCTGCCAGCAAGGCGTGAGATAATTTAACTCCTATCATTTGTACTACTGGGCTATGCCCCGAGGGACGGATTCTATTTATTAGATTGATGCTATCTTGGTAGGAAAATGCCGTGTGTACACCTTGTGGTGTACACACGGCTTTACACCCCCACCTCATATGGAGGGGAGTCCACGAATATTTTATTACATGTGGACATCCCTCCATGTGAGTGGGGGTGTAAAGTCGTGTGTACACTATTGTGTACACATAGCACAACCCATCTTGATATTACTAGTCATAAAAAGAAGGAATACGTCAAAAGAAATGGAATCGTAGGACAATATAGTTAAATTCATCATTTTCTGTTGTTATTTCGGAAGAAAAGTTCTCTCCTTTTCTTTCGTTCTTTGGTAATGCAAACATATACCTTTTCTTTCGTTCTTTGGTAATGCAAACATATTGCTGAATTCTTGACCTCTATCTAGTGCTGGGCCTTGAATGTTTTCAACTAACATTAGGGTTCTATTTTCTGTTAAGAGAATAATAGACTTTAAAAATTTAAAAAAAGCGAAAAAAATTGAAGCACTATCCATATCTTTGAATGTTCTTTAATGCCCTCATTTCGATATGACCTGGTGTGATATCCAGCCTAATCGAAAGAATCTCCTGATCTCTTGGGGAGAATGAGACGATTTGAAAGAATTTTTGAAAACTTGGAAGTTCTTATTCCTAACATTTGAATGCATCACAATAATATAATTTATGTAACAAAACATCGGCCTTAGCAATTATCATGTCACAATAATTTACCGAAGAATCTAGTAAATACGTAGTGATCATGTTGACAAAAGTGTAAACAAGAAAAAATACGAGATTATAAATGCATATTTTTGCTGGAAAATGCCACCTTGACAAAAGAATCTTGCCAGATTCTTTGACAGGCAGTGTGATGGGATGTGATTGGATAAGAAAATTGATTGAATTTTAAGCAGTCCAATGATATAGTGACAAGTGATAGTACGTCAACCATTGTGTTAAGGATTATGTCATTGTAGTACGACTGATTTTCGCTTGAATTAAAGCGCAATAACCTGTAATTTTATTTAAGCAAACATTAGCTAATTAACAGCATCAATAAAAAAATACATCACGCTGAAAAGCAACTGAAAACTACATTTTCTCGGAAACTTAGAATCTTATATTCATGCTGAAGGCCATAGTGTGGAGGCCGCGTCATTTTCTCCTCCTCCAAACTTCTGCCCCGTTCAAATTTCCCATTAGGGTTTTTACTGCCATTAGACACAAGAGCCTTTTTCTCGAGTCTTCTCTGAATAACATACTCTTCAGAAATGTACACATCCATTGAATTTTTAGTATATAAAATATATGTGTATATATAAATCTCTGGGGCAACTCTATGGGCTGCAGGACCATGTTTTGTTTAAACAAGGTGCACTTGGTTTTCACTTTTCTTCAAACTTTTGGGGTCGTTTTTCTTGGCACTTGGACACGTGGATATAATCAAATGCATGCATGTATACTAATACTCTTGATTAATGTCTTTCTTTGCTTTATTCTACTCCTCTTTACGACTTCATCATTTTAAAACTTCTATTAGACACGCGTTTCAACAAGATGCTGATAAATGGAGCATTTTAAGGTTGAACTTTTGAAAGAGGAAGTGATAAAAAGATATAAATGATAAGCATTTTGGACAACGCCTTTACCTTTAGAGAAAATGTGTGCCTTTTTTTTCTTTTTTTTTTTTTTCTTTTGGTGAAGTAAATGCCATTTAAGCGAGGTAAGCGTTTTGACATTGTTGAAATTGTTGTTCAAAATCAACAAAAATATGTGGAACGATGAGCAGAATGAACAGTGTAACTGGATGCCGAAATATTGGTCTATGTGACCACATAGGCCAGGAAGTCTTACGGTCACATGGAGATTTGCAAGACCTAATGGCCCTCACATTGAATGATCTTTGCAGCCACATAGGTTTGTTCTATGCAACCAACATTTTGTTAGCTATTAAGGGCATTTTTTGTTTGAATTTTTGGTGACCTTTTATGTAATTTGGCACCATTTCGTGTAGCTTTGATTGATGCCTATAAATAGATGGTTGATGATCAATACAAAATATACAAAAACACATGAGATCAAATCCTCATTCCAAAAAAGTATTGAATATTCTTTCTTCTCTTTATATTCAAAATCTTGTGTTCTTGAGTTGCAAATAGATTTCACTAGTGTTTTAAGTGTTAATTCTTTTCAAGGCTTGATAAATCTTACAAATCATTTGCCAAAAGTCCCTTTAAGCACCAAATTTAATCTGAGAGATGACAAATATCGTTTGAGGACAACGATTATATGTTTAAGCCTTCATTTTCATTTTCACCTTCTTGTTACTTTTTACTTGTTTCGTCTCCATACCCTTCGCGTGGAAACAATTTTTCCAAAAATCTCAAATGATATTTGTACGATGAAAAACGAAACTACTATGGCTACAATCAAGTTGATGAATCAAAACCTAGTTCGTTTAGAACATTTTGATGGGACAAATTGCACAAGATGGCAAGATAACTTGAAGTTCCTTCTCAAGTCATATGATCTTTACACCAACACCTTTGACAAACCAACTATGGGAAGCGTTGGAAAACAAGTACAAGTCGAAGAAGAAGGTACTAAGAAATTCATAATTTCAAGGTACATTGATTTTAAGTTCATTGACAATATTCCCCTTCGCTTAGAACATTTTGATGGGACAAATTGCACAAGATGGCAAGATAAGTTGAAGTTCCTTTTAAATTTACAATGGTTTCTTCTTATGAATTTTGGAAATGAAGAAAACCTAACATTGGATACTTTAAAGTATGTGGGTAGGACCAAGTTTGGTCCAAGGGATATTAAATGTGTTTTTGTTGGATATGCTAGTAATAGCAAATCATATAGATTATTCAATTTGGAGACTAATGTGATTGTTGAATCTAATGACGTAGAGCTTTCTGAGAGTTCATTATCCTCTGATAATGAATTAAGGGAATCTCTTAAAGAGATCTTAAGTTCTAGTGAAACACAAGATGAAACATCTTTTAAAGACTTTCATGAATTTGGTGAACCTTAAAGAAGCAAAAGAACTCGAATTGAGAAGTCATTAGGATCGGTTGAAATCGACTCTCAACTTATTTTCTTTTACTTAGTACAGGAAAATTAGAAAAATGGTGTAAGAACAATTCATTTTGTTCTACAAGTGGAAATCGATTCCAAAACTTATAGAGAGGCTATGGCTTTTCGAGATAACATCTTTTGGAAAGATACAATTAAAGATGAAATGAATTCAATTATGTCAAATAATACATGGAAACTTTCGATCTACCACTCTGATCCAAACCTTATGATGTAAATAAGTGTTTAAGAGAAAATATAATGTTGATAATTCTCTTAATACCTTTAAAGTTAGACTAGTAGCTAGAGGATATCGACAAAAATAAGGATTAGATTATTTTGATACTTATGCACCGGTAGCTAGAATAACACCAATCATGATATTATATGCATTAGCTTCTATACTTGACTTGCATGTTCATCAAATGGGCGTAAAAACGACATTTTTAAATGGGGATCTCAATGAGAAATTGTATATGAAACAACTTAAAGAGTTTGCTCTACTCGAAAATGAACATAAGATGTATAAGTTGGTAAAATTGTTATATAGTTTGAAGCAAGCACCTAAGAAATGACATAAAAATTTTGACTTAGCTATTGTCTCATTCGGTTTTAGACATAATAGTGTAGATAAATATTTGTATTCTAAACTATGTGGAAATTATGTTATTTAATTTTATTTGCTTATATGTTGATGATATGTTGATTTTGAGCAATCACATAAATGGAATAAAGAAACAAAGAAGTTCTATCTTCAACATTCAAGATAAAGGATTTAGTACCTCTACTGATCCAAATTCAAAAATATAAAGAATGATGGAAGAGCAGTTGCTCAATTGAAGTATGTAAGTGTTATAGGGAGTTTAATGTATACAGTTCAATGTACAAGATTGGACATAGCATTTGCAATTAGTAAGCTTAGTAGGTTTTCTAATAATCCGAGCAAAGACCATGGGAAGGCCGTTGGAAGAGTTCTTTGATATTTAAAGAAAATCAAGAACTTATGTCAGCAATATACTAAATTCTCGATTATTTTAGAAGGATTCATCAATGATAGTTGGATATCTAGCACAGACGAAAGTAAATCTACTTTGGGTTTGGGTGTTTACTTTTGGAGAAGTTGCTATCTCTTGGAAACCAAAGAGACAGACATGTACAACACACTCAACTATGGAATATGAACTTGTAGCAATATTAGAAATCGAGAAAGATGTTGAATGGCTTAAAGATCTACTTAATGAGATACCTTTGGGACCGAAAAATACATTTTCAATATCTATCATGTGTGATAGTAAGTCACTTTAATAGAGGCATACAATGAGATATACAATAGAAAGTTTAAACACATGAATCTCAGACATGACTACTTAAGAAAATTAATAAAAAATGGAATAATTTCCTTAAATTATGTTAAGTTAATCGAGAACTTAGTTGATCTTTTAATTAAACCTCTAAATAGAGATTAATTAGTAACATTTACTTTGAGTAGGATATGGTTGAAACTCTTAAACTAAAATATCTACCAATGATGACAACTTTACCTGTCATTACTTAACAAGTAATCCATGGATTCAAAGGGTAACAACAAATCATTCAATATGT